GTATACAAACCAAACAGAACTTATTACGTTGAATAGATCCATACCCACCATTAGAACTAAACTCTCCTTCCTGAACTATTGAGAACTGGTAAGGAAGACTGGGTGTGTCAACTGGAGCTATAGCAAACTTTAAGTATTGTGCAAGATCTGGTTGTCCTGTTAAATCAACACAGTGCTGTATCTCTAACTTGAGTCGTTTGAGGAGAGGCTTTGAGAGTGATACTGCATACACAGCACTCACTAGGACAGTATTAGGAGGAAACTGGAACTGTCCTCCTACAAGAGCAACCACTGGTGCTTCTACTGTCTCAGAGGACAATAGGCTTCCTTCTTGTACTCCAATCCTTAGACCATATTTCTCCCAATTCATCAGTTGAGGTTTGTCTCCTTGAATTAAGAACAGCTTCTTCTCTGCTACCTGGACATCACTCAGATATTTCAAATTATCTGTAACACATAAGGCAATTGATGTCTTAAATTAAACTTACCCATTGAGGGGATCATGTAGTTAAATTGTACTCCAACAGAATTAGTTCCTTTGTTGCTAAATTGATCATGTTCCTGTAGAGTGACATCCATCTTCTCTTTCTTTATAATCACTTGATCTTCTACACAAAATGATAATGTGATCATACTATCAGTATCAAGTATTAAATGCATGATACTAAACAGTAAAAGTTAATATGCATTAGAAAACAGCATGTTCAGCAGCTGACCAAAATAAATTTCTTTCTCTTTAACATCCTGATTCTCCAGTTCAATGATTTTAGCTCCATACACTGGAACTATGAAAATAGAAAAATTGCTTAAGCTTTTTTCCAAAAATAAAATAAACCTGTGCATGTTACATAGCCATGATAATTTTAATAAATTTTTGAGCCGCAGATTTTATTGGCATATTAATGCATGCATAGAGAATGTAATCATCAGTTAGTCAAAATCACCTGAATCTGGTGTTGCTGATACTTCTGTTGGTCTTGGTTTTTCTTGAGTCACATTTATAAATTTAGACATATCATCTTCTTCTGAAATTTTGCACTAAAGTTACAAGCAAAATTGAAATTATACATAATTATTTGTTTGTGCACATAGTTACCTTTTTTGCTGCTAAACTCCAACAAAATCTAAATTTATTTTGAATAACTTGAGCAGAACAAAGATTACAAAGGTTAGATTTATGTGATCGATAAAGATAATGATAGTCACTATGAGATTTTTTCCTGCATGGAATAGCAACAGAATACTTCACACCACGCAGTGTTTGTGTTATTGACTGCAGACATTTGAATGTAGCAGTGAGAACTTGGCTACATGCATTAATTGCTTCTTCTGAAGGCTTTATGACATTAGGAGAGTTATCTTTAAATTGTAATTGAGTTTTTCCATCCCTGTAAATCATTTGAAC